GAAAACTACAAATATGATCTATTTCATAGTTATATTTATATATCAATCTTTTACTCATACAGGACGTTAAATAATCCTGCCGATCAAATGGATGTGATTGGTGTAGGAGGTATCAATTGGGATGATCAAATAGCGAGATTTTCTTCACGTGGTATGACCACATGGGAATTACCTCATGGATATGGTAGAATCAAACCTGATCTGGTCATATATGGATCAGGAGTAAGGGGCTCTGCTTTACAGAATGGATGCAGAAGCCTTTCTGGTACTTCTGTTTCTAGTCCCGTTGTTGCCGGTGCGGTTGCGCTCTTAGCTAGTGCATTTGTAGAGACAAATGGATCTAGAATTAATAATGAGAAGGTAATTATAATAACTTTTTATATATTCGCTCATATATTCTGATATCAATATCATTAAATCACAGGATATAAAAAAATATAGACATACATTTTGAATAATACATATTTGTAAGGTAACACCAGCGAGTATAAAACAAGCATTATTAAGTTCAGCTCGCCGCTTGCCCGGAGTTGGTATTTTCGAGCAAGGTGCAGGAAAATTAGATCTCCTGCGAACATTTAATTTCTTACAATCGTATACTCCTGTTGTTACGCTCTATCCAAGGTAAACTTTTTTTTAAATATTGGTACACTTTATTTATCAAATATAAAATTCTTTAAATAAAATACATTTTTTTCTCTGTTTTATGAGTTTTAATTATATTTATTTGATTAGCTAATTTTAAATATTGATTTATTAATTGATTCATTTATTGTAGATATAACAAATATAATATATAAAATAATTATATGTATTAAATATAATAAAATCAGCTAAAATAACGATTAGATAAAGTTAGATAAAGTTAGATAAAATTTTGATTATATAATATAATTAATTTCTTGCTTTTGTTAAATAATTAGCTATATAGATTTAACAGAGTGTCAATATATGTGGCCGTATTGTACTCAAGCTATATACCATACTGGTATGCCCACAATAGTCAACGTAACTATAATAAATGGTTTGGGCGTAGCTGGAAATGTAGTAAATCTTACCTGGCATCCATATGCTGGTAACGGCAATGGTGAACATATTGATGTGGCGATGACATATAGTGATGTCTTATGGCCATGGTCCGGCTGGTTAGCAATTGCTATAACAGTTCCTTCGACATCTCATGACTGGCAGGGCATCGCACAAGGTTCATTTTTGTTTTTTTGATAAATAAATTTTCGTGTATTATAAGAGATTTTTCGTGTATTATAAGAGATTATGTTTCCATATAGGTCATATCTCGCTTACCATTGAAAGTGATGGCGCGGGTAAACCGCGACAATCAACGGTAATGCTTCCATTGCAAGCAAAAGTCATACCCACTCCACCTAGACAGTGAGTAAAAATATTATGCAAGATAATCGATATTTTTGAACATGATATATGCTGAAATGCATTTGCGAGCATTTAATTAATTATTCATACCTCTGTGTTCTTTCAGGAAACGTATTTTATGGGATCAGTATCATAACTTGCGGTATCCACCCGGATATTTCCCCAGAGACGATCTGCGCGTAAAAAACGACCCGCTTGACTGGAATGGAGATCATATACATACTAATTTTAAAGATATGTATCAACATTTACGTAATGCCGGATATTATCTTGAAGTACTTGGTCATCCGTTTACTTGCTTTGATGCAAAAAATTATGGAACTCTGCTTATCGTGGATACAGAAGAAGAATTTTTTCCTGAAGAAGTATGTAATTAAGCCTTATAAAATCGAATTTGCTATAGATTTTTTATATAGTGTACACATTGATCAAAAAAAATAAAGTGGATTTTAACTGCAGGTGATAAAGTTAAAACGAGATGTAGAGGATGGCCTATCAGTAATCCTATTTGCAGACTGGTATAATACAGCAGTCATGCGAAAAATCAAGTTTTACGATGAAAATACCCGTCGATGGTGGATACCGGAAACGGGAGGTGCTAATATTCCTGCTATAAACGATCTGCTTTATCCCAATTGGGGTGTGGCGTTTGGCGATGAAGTACGAAACGGTCAGTTCATCCTTGGCCAGCATGCACCAGTCACATTCGCATCTGGTACTACACTAATTAGGTAAAATATTTTGTACAGAAGATTAGCTTATACACATGTCATATTTTCTCCTTCCAAACAAATAATTTTTTCTTTTAGTATTTTTTCATATCATTAAAAACAACAAGGATATCTTAAATAATCGAGTTACAGGAAATGCTTGTATATACAGAGTGTATTCAGCGTAGCGGTCTATATGATTTTTAGGACTCTTCCAACTTTAAAGAACAGTTAACTCTTGGTCCCAAAAATTGTGCGGACTGTTATATTGAATACTCTATAATCAAAAGAAAATTATTATACATATATATCAAGTTTCTACATAAAAAGACTTTATATTTATTTAGATTTCCAAAAGATGGAGTCCTTTTGTATGTAGAGTTATATGATCAAGGTCGAGAGCTTTTGGAAAAAGACACAGGGATATCTACACTTGTGCCAATTCTTGGACTTTTACAAATAACAAATAAAAAGAATGTAAAAATGGCATATAATAAGAAGCTCGATAACGAAGCAGGTGAAAATGAAGGAAAAAATATTGTCAATGAAGAGACAAGCATGTCTGGTAGACTCGTTGTTTATGGAGATTCAAATTGTATTGATGACAGCCATTTACAGAAATGTATGTACTACAAGAAAAATCTGTTAATGATATGAAAATATTTTAATCTGAATATTATTTAATAAGAATATTATTTATATCTAGCCTGTTTTTGGATGCTCGATGCTATCTTAGAATACACAACAACAGGTTACGTACCTACTGTTTTCATGGATGAAAGTCAAAAAAAGCATAAAACTGTTAAAACAACTAGTAATATGAAGATTGGAGAATTACCATATCGAATGAAAGAAAATCATTTTGGTCGTCATAGTAAAGTATTAACAACTGATGAGTCAACAGGCACTTTCAGACCTCTTCCATTATGTGCCACTCCCATCCATGCTGTACCCATGCCAATCAATGAATCCGTGCCAATGTGAGTAATTTCACGTGTGCACATATATATCAATTCAAGTCCAAATATTCCATAAATTTTGTATTTATCCAAATATTTGTTTGTATTTGTTTTTATTCTGATATTTTTGATTTTATAAATGTATTAGAAATAAATTGCCCTATAATTATGATAAAGGGAGGGTACAATAATAATAATCTGATTAAAAGGCCATAATTAAAAGTGAGTGCCTCTTGTGCAAAGTGCTTAAACAAATTATGTTCTTATTTTATCAGTTCTAGATTTTTATCAATATACAATTGAATATTCCTTTTTCTACAGAGAACTTTACAAGCCTCAAAAGTTGCTCCCTATAGGAGATACCATGAGCGCAGTAAATTCAGTATTGCAAGACACAGATACTTTATGGCTTAAGAGACGAGTCGGTGGTGCTAGTATGCCCACATTACATCTTGATATTGATGTTATGACCTACGATGTAAAAGAAAATCAGGGAAATGAACAAGTGATTGTTTATCAATGGAGTTACATAATAATAATTATTATTATAATGATAATTATTATATATTTATGGAATTGTTTAGGATTGAACAGACATTCACGCAGGAAACGTACTATACTCAGACTATTTAGAGCCATTCGAGCTCTAGTTGTACGCAGGATACCAGGACAAATGTAGCTTGATAATTTCACAGAAATCGTTTACTATGCGTTGTACATAAGATTCATAATTAATTTAATTTTTTTAATGACTAATATTATCTATCAAAAAATTTACATGCGAAATAGATTATACGTGCCTTTAAAATGTGTAATATGCAACAGGAATTTGTAGATTATATAAATTTTGATATAAAAAATGGCATTGTTTATTGACATTTTTATCAAAAACAATTAACAAATAATATTTTTTGTTTTCATTTCTATATCTATACAAAAATTTCTATATCTATATTTTTAAATTATTAAATTATATAATCGCCTTTTCACTTTTTTACATTTTCTTTGAAAAGACAATTTTTATACCTATTTTATATACATTAATTATAAAATGGATTATAAGTAACCCAATGCGCTCTATCCTGCTCTGTGGCGGATTTATGAGTGGTAAAAATGCTTTTGAAAACTTCTGACGCTTTGGGATCTTTCGCGATACTATAATCATTTTTAGCTTTTCTATAAGCAGGATCATTGGCTTTGTTGCTATTATCATTCAGTTTAGGAATTATTTTATCTTCTTTTTTTATCTTTTTTTTGGACACTTCATCTGTTTTCTTCTCTTCTGCTGTTACGTCATCTGACTTCCTTTTTTTCATTTTCTTCTGACTAGCTTTTCTAAGTGTTGCTCTCTCCTTCATGAGTTCCAAATCGTCACTTTCTGCATTTAATATGACTATGTCTGTTTCTTCAAATGGTTGCTGACATTTGTGACATGTCTATAAAATTAACATATTATTAAATTTTAAATTCAGTCAGTGCTTCTCTCTACTTAGAAAATATTCTACTTACCAGACTCTTCACTTCTTTGAGTGCACGTTCGCTCATTACACAACCGCATGACCATAAGAAGCAGAATTTATATTTCCCATTCATTTCCAAACCGATGACTGGACAAATATATGGGCTTTTGCCTCCATTGTTGTACCCATCCCCTTTCTCAGCTTTATTACCATCAAACGCTGGATTTGGGGTCAAATTAAGATTTCTCACATCTTTCAAATTCTTGATATGTATAGCAGATTCAGGAAGAGTAGTACGATCCAAAAGTCCTTCCAATACAGATTCCTTGCTATATAGATGACCCAAGCTGCAACCCACGATTGGTGGCTGCAATGGCAATTGTCGTATTGTACAATGTTTCCATTTAAAAGCCAATTCTGCTTCCTTGTCTTTCTATAAATAATTATAACATATGTGTAAGTACATAATTAATCATTGCAAATATTCTATATTTTCTATACAAAATAAAAAAAGAATTGTTTATAGATTATTATATATGCATTTGTTAATATTCTTTTATTTAACATTGACAATGTTCAGGTTTTCATAATAAATACGAGACATTTCATTTAAAAAACTCAAGATAATTTTCAAAGCTGATATATAGAAAAAATTATTGTAGATATTTATCTCCTTATACATGTAAATTTTATTAGAAAAATTTTCTGTAGTCTACGAGTAATTTCAGGTAATTAAATTAAATCGAATCTGTATATAGCAAATACATAAAAACTAAGAGCAATAAGAATAATTAAAATTACTGAAAATAAAAAACGATACAACGTAACGAAACAATTTCAATAAAAATTTGAGCTGTTTCTCAAGGTTATACCAATTTTCTATTCTTACCTGTTCCGGCTTCTTTTTCACTCTGACAAGTTCATCCCTGCGAGGAATAGTACCACCATCGCAACCCATGACGACACTTGAGGCTTTATCAAAAAGATTATGTATTATAAATTAACTAAATCTTTGCTGATATTCCAAAAAGCTTCCAGCTTAGCGTCGCGAATCGTAATTACAGGAGAATGGCGCAAAATGGCGGCAGAGACGCTACCATGTGCTGCCAACTGCTCTTTTCAAACCAATTCTTTCCGAGATATTTCTTCTTCTTCTTCCTTTATCAAAGGAGAGGATTTCTATTCTTCGGGAGAAAAATACTACGATTTAAAAATATTAATAAAGAATATTCAGATCCTGAGTTTACTATGTTGGAAGAAGCTGGATTTCTGGATTTCTACCTTAATATAATTAGGACAGATAGAGATCGAGCAATTTTCAATTTTAAAGATTTAGATTTGAAGATATCAATTTAATGTCAACGAGATTCGGGCGGTCTACGTGTCGAATACGCACGAGCTGAAACTCTAAAATTGTGGGAGGCCACGATTGGTAGCACTGTCACGCGGAGTCAGCTGACAGCACAGCGTTGCGGCCGCGCGGCTTAGTTGTCGGGCGGGTCGCAAGACAGCAGCAGCACACAATCTGTCATCACGTGAGTGGTCACAATGGTCTCTGACGGTTTCGTCGTCGGCGAGCAGCGTCGTCCAGCCCGTAAGGTCCTCTGAAGTTTTCCCGTGGTGGAAAACCGATCCGGCATTCGGCCGTGCAACGTTAACGAGGACGACGTCGACAACGACGAGAAGGAGACCCGGCCATCTATCACTGGTACGTGGCTTGGCATCTATCCTATCGGCAAACACACGCGCGCGCGCGTGCACGCATACATACCTATTTCGTTTTTGAGACAGAAATTTTCCAGACGAAAGAATCGCTTTGTCGAGCGACTCGTGTTCGCAAAAATTCGGCGGTTCTCCTTGACACGTACTCCGTTTTGGCTTCTCCGCCGTCGATGCGTCGCGCTATTATCGATCCCCTCGAGAGAATCCGAACCGTAGGTTTGATTCCGGAGACGGTTGCTATTTTTCTTTTCCTTTCTCTTCTTTTCCATCGCCAGAGTTTACGATATTCGAATATCCCATTGAAAGGTCTCGCTCGAGAACATTTCTCGAGCATACGTCGTACTTGGTCGTATTTGGTTTCCCTTTTTCGTTTCTTTCTCTCTTTTCAATATCGATCGGTCGTCAACGTATCGAGAGCGTGTTCGTAGGTACGATCATGTGGAAAGCGCGCCTAATTACATAACGTCAAGCAGACGCGATGCTTGTCGTGCCACACCCCCTTCCGTATGCTCGTCTCGCAATTCGTAAATTCCCGCAAATTTAATCGCCCTTCCATTTAATGATCACGCTAGCCTCAGCTCTCAGCTCTCAGCTCTCGATTCGGGGGAGAGAATCTTCTGCGCAAATGCGAATGGCGCGATATGTAGTATGTGCTATTAGTTTAGTTAATGACTGACAGGATGGCAGCAGGTGGTTATCTGGAATATATATATCGATATCGCATGAAAATATCGAATGTTATCGATATTTTTTAAATTATTCATATTAAAAATGAGTGAATATTGCATATATTGAATAAAATATCGAAAATTAGTACATATATTAACGCACAAACTTTTATTAGTACATGCGTTAATGTATGAGTTTTAATTATGAAAAAGGAAATTTCCAAATTTACAAAAGTACAACATACAAAAAGTTGATACGAAAAATACTCTGTCGATAATACAAACGAATATTCAATATTCCCTTGATGTAAAAAATATTTGTGAACTTATGAATAGTTACAAATTATATATATGATATTCTATTCATAATATTTTATTCGATATTTTGATATCCAATAACAAAAAAAAAAATATCGAATAACAATAATCTCTAGTTTAAAGAAAATCAGCCCTTGTCAGCATCTATTGAAATTATAAAACAATATATTTATATGTTATTGTTTACTTTTATTAAAATATAACTAAATATTTATTATTTAAATATCTTGCTATAAAATATGTATATATACCTACTTAAATATATATCGAAAATTTTATAAAAAATAAATATCCGTAACAATATATACCGTTACGGATAAATCAATATGAAATAGAATTGAGAATAAAAAAATTGCTCGTTAAAATTTGTTAAATTTGTTAATACTATTAAGTTATTTAATTATTTAATTTTCTTTCTTATGATACTGCGTTTTTGATATTTATTATTCCAAATATTTATAATTATTCATATGTAGTAAAATAAATTTTTTTCGTAATTTTATATTTTTATATTTAGAGGTAATATGAGCATTCAAAAATTTCAAATTAAATGGTATCGTGACATCACTGCTTTTTCAGGTATATTAGAAACCTAGTTGCAACCTACACTACTCAAGATGACCGAATATTGGTTGATATCTGCGCCTGGGGATAAAACCTGTCAGCAGACATGGGAAACTATGAACAATTTAACATCCAAGCAGCATTCTTTATCAGTAAATTACAAGTTTCATATCCCGGATCTGAAGGTCGGAACACTGGATCAGTTGGTCGGTTTGTCAGATGATCTTGGCAAACTTGATGCGTATGTGGAACAAGTGACACGTAAAGTGGCGACATATCTGGGTGAAGTTCTCGAGGATCAGAGGGACAAACTGCATGAGAACCTGATGGCCAACAACAGTAAGTAGAAGAGATACTTGTTGCCGATGTTATCTATTAGGTCTTTATTTCAACGATATTGTCCATATGATGAAGGAACAGATTGTTTATCCAGGGGTCCAAATTATTGCCTGCACTTATTTATCTTTGTTTAATAAATTATATATTAAGTATTACTTAAGCGTTAAGTAATATTTAATTTCACGTATAAGAAATGTGTATAAGAAATTAGATTCAACTCTAATAATTAATTGATAAATATTACGCTTTTATTCTGATTTAAATTTGCGTTAACCACTATAGTAAAAATAAGACGAATCATGTTGACTAGAAAATGCGAATCTGTAACAGAATACTGTGATCCACACTACTTAATCTATTACTAGGATAAGTGTATATTGTACAAATTGGCTATTTGACTTGATCAAAAGGGCTGATTATAGAAATAATTTTATATATTATTGCTGGTATAACATTTTGGACCCTTGCGTACAGGTATCGATCGATTGTTTATGCATCATTTTCTTATAATGCTCTAATTCATGGTAATATATTAATTAACTAACGCACCAATGAGATATACTATACACAACACAAAACATGCACACTATTTCAAATTACCTTTTTTTGTCAATGATCTTCGATATCTATTAGTTATAATTAATCCAAATTTTACTTAATTTGTTGGAGATATAATAATGAGTTGAATTTTAGACAACTATAATTCCTATTCTTTCCCACAATATCCCACAATATCCCACAGTATCGTAGTCGAATGAGACTTTAACAATTTTGTCTGTATACACGAACAGTACATAAAAAAGTAATATGTTGCATAATATTAGAACATTTTTGCATGTCTTCATACATTTGTTTCAGATAACGAAATATCGTTTTTTCATATTTAACGTTGATTTCAAACAATTATATCTTATCTTTTAAAGACTATTAAATTCTATTTGAAGTCAAATTTATTTCAATGAAGTTATGAATTTTTAATTTTTTTTTAATCGTTAAATGTTTCTCTAATATTTCACTCACTATTATCAAGATCCTATGAAAAATATCTCGAATTGTAGTGTAGTGGCTTTTAAATGAAATTTATTTGAAGCAAATGTTTTATTAGTTGAATTAGGTGAATACAGACAAAATTTTCTTGTAGTATATATGTATTAAAACATCTATATATATATATATATATATATATATGGTGCATATCATAAACTAATAAGGATTATTTTATCTAAATTTTTTTGATATCTTTAATATAGTTTATAATATTAAGTAATTAGATATATTATTTTATCGAATATATTATATTATTCTTTAATATATTTATATAATTAGAGTTATAAACTACTTACTGAATGATATGCTTCATATAATACATAGTACATAGTCGAAATGTCTGTAGAATGCTTATTTATATATGTTCAGTTGTTTTCGTTTATTATCTACTATAGATTTATTTCTAAATTTGTGATGTCGCTTGGCTTATCTTTATTTAACTTCGACCACATTAACCCTGTTTCCCCATCCTTATTATTTTATTAATAATTGCTCATATATATATGCACAATATAAAAATCTGTATTAAGGTATAAAGAAAGAAAAAAATATTTCTTTCAAGACACGTATATATAATATATGTAAAGAACAAATAAAATAAAAGTTATATGGGTAGCATACTGATTTGAAATTATGGACCACACACGTGCCAGATAAAATTTTCCGTAAGAAGTTGCTTGGGTTACTGTGGTCACCAAGCTCTGATTAGCCACTACAAGATTTAATTTTTCCTTGGTTTTCTTATCATCTTCCTTTTATATTATTATTTATTTGCGAGGTATCGTATGATTTTGAGTCATAACGGCTATTACTCCTTTTCTTTTTAATATATATATATTTCATGAATATTTCTTATTACTCAAATGTTTATTTTTGTTGTTTAGTTTCTATTTCATTGTTTTGCAGTATATTGGAGTATTTGACGTTTGATAAAATTTAAAATTAATATGAGAAATTATACTTCATATTTTGTTGTTTATTAAATCAGAATTTATAAATTTTGTATTGTTATTTGAATATATAAATTCAGATTAATTTATAATTTATGGTTACCTCGGAAAGGAACTTTTGAGAGTAAATAATATTACAATTTACGTATAATTCTCCTGAATTTTGAATTCTATAAATATTTTCAGAATATTTTAAATGATGAATTAAATATTGCAATATGTTTTACTAGCATTACATATTATATCATTTATTTAAAATTTACTCTGCTTTATTTTTTTATATTAGACTATATATATTAGTCTATACACATATTTCAGGACATCTGCAAACATTTAGCTAGTCGATATCATAAATATGAATTATCATCAAAACCGAATTATATAATTATTAATAATATTAAAATCGAATTTTACAATTCAAATTGATTGATCTTAAATACGGTGACTTGCGTTAAATACTCCTTGTTTTCTTCTCCTGAGTTGTTTTTCATTCAGTTTCGTCAGCATTGTCGTTAGGCATTTGCGTAGGAGACAATAATAGATTTTGAGCAAGACAATAAGAAAGATCGCGCGAAGATTGGGACTGGGCTATAATGGATAGGTCTAACATCAATGGATGGGGAGAGCTCGAGCCCCGAAGGGGGTCCGGACACCCCGCCAAACACCCCTGTTACACCATCACACAAGACTACGACGGAGCATCACAGGCAGTGGAGGGAATTGGACAAGTCCGAACCAGAACCGGCCGCCTGTTTAGGTCAGCATCATCACCAACGTCATCATAACCATGATCATTATCATCATTACCATCACCATCGTCATCATCATCATCATCATCATCATCATAGCTCCCATAAGCATCATCACAACGGTCATTTCCCCACGTTCGAAAAGAAGCTGTCGTACGATCTTCAGGGCATCTGTGATGTCAAAGCTCCGCCCAACAATTATGCCTCGTCGATATACTCATGCTATCATACCCATTGGTGCGTTGCTTCTGTACCTTCGACGCCAGGCTCCAGTCCTATTCCCGCGAGTCCGACCCTCTCTTCCCTCTCATCAAACTGTAGTAGCGAAGGGGAGTTTGGATGGCAGCAGCCGTTGCGTCCGCGATCTACTGTCGAAAAAGATCCAGATCGATCTACCCACAAATCGATCCGAGGTGATGATAAAGACGACGACGATGACAATGCGGATCAAAACAACGACCAAGACCAAGATCAAGATCATAGTCGCAATTTGCCAAATCCAGGTATCCGTCCTGCCACTGCCGGCTGATACAACATCGTCGTTCCTCCACTCTATTTCCTTCTCCTTCTTTTTGATACATAGCTACAAAGCTTTGTTCCTCCCGTGCACCACGTGTCTCGATCGTTTAACGACTGAATTATTATCATATTTTTTTCTTTTTAAAAAGAGAATAATCCAAAAAAGATTAAGAAAATAAAGAGAGATTGTCAGAATAGATACTTATATAACTTACAACTTATTATAATTTATATGAGAAAGAGAGACAGAGAAAAAAATAAAAAGATAATTTATTCTACTCTCATATTGATATAATGCTGATAGTCTAGTACACATTTTTTTTAATATGTATAGCAACTATTTCATTTTATACATATAGATG